GAGGTGACATTTTTTTGACCCACGTGTTTACCTAGGACACATGCCAGAATGTTACTGCTGATGCTGGGTACTCAAAATCCCATTCTTAAGGCCACAGCAGGTCTGTACTGATGTGAAAGCGAGGAGATATTTTCTGGTTCTGCAAAACCGTTTCTCCAACCAGCTCAAAGTATTTCGCAGAAATATTTCTTATACCATACAAGTTTATTAATAACTCACAGATGGCACCTTTCCCACTCAGTCTGCCAGGTCATGACTTCAGATGGCAGAGGCAGAACCAAGTAAAGGCAAAAGAAGTTAATTATGCTTTATTGAAACCATGCTGTTGTAAAGAACTAAGGTTTATCCAGGAAATATTTTATTTATTGCTTCCTAATCATAACTTTTTCACTCAGGGGGAAGTGTTGGGGTGGGCAATGAATCTACACTGGATGGGTTAGATTTATTTCCTCCTTCATGTCACACCTGGTTTGTTTTCCTCTCTAAGTGCAGGAAACACATCACTCAATCCAGACTTCCTCTTACAGTTAAAAAAGCACACATGTACAGTCTCATGCCAGAACACCAGCGCACGGTTTGCTCACAAGAGTGTTAACACGTTTCTACAGGTCAAGTCTTACCGGTATTTGCTGGATTTCTCCTGTGTTGGTGATGATCTGCTGCATGACTTGCATGGTCTGCCCAGTTCCGCTCTGAGCCTGCTGGGTCTGCCCTTGCGGCTGGGCCTGCACGATCTGTACCTGCTGGCCTTCTCCAACCTGCATCGTCACAGGGGTGCTCTGCATTCAAAATGGGGAGAAGGACCAAGCAAGGACTGAACACAGAGGAAATACTGTAATCCCAAATACTGCAACAGACAGACTGCTTCCCAGAGCCACCGTTACTTGTTGATGCTTCCACCACCACAAAGGGGACGCAGGATCTAGGTGACCCTTGTTACGAAGGTACCAGAACACCTGGGCATGACCAGAAGCCACATTTCTCTATGGCTGTTGGCTGTTCTGAGCAGCGAGATCAGGACGCTGCAATACATGACGCAGGGGCGACTCGGGGGTTTCGCTGGCTCCAGGGCACTGCCAAGCCCCCCGAACGCTGCTCACGGCTCACCTGCCCTTGCTGAGGCTGGGCAATGATGATCTGTCCTGGCTGGATCGTGGTTGTAGACGTGGTGGTCTGCTGTCCTTGCTGCTGGCCCTGAACCTGCACTGCAGCCGGCTGCTGAGCAAGGGTGAAGTAATACTGTACGGGCTCAGCTGGGGTCACGGCCTGACGCACCTCTTCCTGCAGCACAGGTAGGAGACAGGTCAACGGGGAGGGAACAGATCAACCCCCAGCTGAAACATCCCCCCATAAGCATGCTCCATGGGAAAGTCTCTGTAAGACCTCGTTCGTAACAGTTTAGCTAAGTAAATCCGAAATGATAAACCAAAACGGGTTTCCTCATTTATTCAGCTATATGGAAATCAAATCACTTCCAATACCCTAGGTATAATAAATGTAGTCACCAATTTCATTATGAGAAGCAAATGAGTAAAATTACCATAGTTGAAATCCACCTAACTCCTCATCAGTAGATTCCATCATCGCCTGTTATCTTAACACAGAACGAATTGCAAATGCACCAGGAAGACTTACAAAGCCTCCCCTGTCAACAAAACCCTCTTCTTAGCCTACGTGCCTAACAGAATTCTCAATGATGTTAAACCTCTGGGAATAAAAGTCAGAGACTTGATGTAGGCTGTCGTGCCTTTATTTATTTATTTAAATCCAGCTTTTCCGGAATGGTAACAATTTCATCTTGTACGAGGGCTTAACAGCCCGATTCTGCTGGTAGCAGGAATATCTCAACAGTGTGAAGAAACAAAAGGCTCTGCTCTAGCTCACTGTCAGAAGCACAGGCTGTAATACTGCTGTTTTGTTTTACCTAAGCATGTCTTTAGGAGAGAAAAGCCCCTTATGATTAATGATGTTTTAGGCAAGGAAGTAGATTTTCAGAGATTATGTTAAGTGGCAAGTGGTTAACACTCAAGAATCAAAATTCTTAAGCTCCCCAGAGGAGCAGTCGGACCTTGCACCTTATGGAAGATGCAGCTCCCCAGTGGAGCAGTTGGACTTTGCACCTTATGGAAGATGCAGCTCACCAGGCGTTCACTCCATGGCAGAAGGCGTAAACAATCCTCTCCCAGCCACCTCGAGTTCACAGCTGAGAGTGTAGGATGTTTACACGTGCTACAACATGGTAGATTCCCACTTACACAAGTCTGCTCGATGCCCCTGCATTAAATGAGGCTCGCTCATGGATTACCTTCAGGACATCCAACTGGACAGGAAAAGAAAAATTCACATTAAACAAGATCGATGTATGTTGTCTAGATGGGCATCAGGCTTGAGTAAAAGAGCCCATCCACTTAGACGCTAGTCTCTTGGAGGGACAGCAACTGAAGAAAAGACTTACTGTCGGGAGGTTTCTCAACAGCCTACCAGAAAATTACCCCCCCAAGATGAAGCTGTTCACAGTTGGCTGTAATCTAGAAGCAACTTCTAAGCCTGCCTCTCAGAGCAAACGTTAGCACTATTCCACGGTACTGCAAACCACTGCAATCAAACACTTACAATACTTCCTACACATGGTAGCTCACTGATTATTCCTACTTGCTTCATCAAATCCTTTGGGGAAGGGATTAATAACAAATTTAAAATATATATTCGACAGGGCATGTCTCCAGTTAACCATAAAACCGCATGCACAGAAGAGCTGCAGCGGTTTCTGTAAAGCCCAGTCCTTGGGTATGTTATCTCTAGAGCACTCCAATCCTCGATTTTTAGCTGAATCCTGAAACAATTAACGCAACTGAGTACTTCTGTAAGTATCTATTCCAGGTTAAGTTGCATTTGCTACAGGCAAAAATGGCTTTAAATCCAGATCTGCTTGAACTACGCTATACCACATCATTTGCCATCTTTTATTTTCAAGCCATAGCTTTAGTTACCAGAGCAACATAACAGTCATGGTTTCACTCCCAGCTCTTCCATGTAACCAACACTAACTTGTCAAACAGTCTTTTCTGTGGTAGAGATAAAATACAGATTGTACCCCCAGCCAAAAAGTGCAGGCTGTCAGCCCACAGGCAGCCACTTTTCAACACTGTTGAATCAAAGGAGTATTTTCCATTGCAAAGTCCTACCCTACGTTCTTATCAAGCAGCTATTTCTCTATGAAACTTCCTTTGCCACAAGAATATTTTTACTGATTCAGTAGCGTTCGCAGGCTGGGGATGTACTGGTGAGAGACAGACCTCTAAAGCCCACCTTCTGGGAAACCCAAGCCGACAGGGTTTCACTGCTGATGCTGTGCACTCCAAAAGACACAGCTCTGGTGCGATGTATCATCCAGACACATTAACCTCACAACCTATATGCACATAACATGCTATTAAAATCCTTCAGGCATTCATTTGATTACGGAACTTGAATGTTATCGATGTAAGCAGAACATTCTGATGTGAATCAAAAGGCTCCAGCAAGGAAGAGGTACAGGCCATGTTCTGCCTCCCAAACATGGAGTACTTCTAAAAATAGCACTACAAAGTAGAATAACTGAATGAGGCACCTAAAAGAAAAAGAACTGGATTTGCAATGTCAGAATTAACCTGTGTTACTCCAGGCTGCAGCCAACTCAACTTAGCAAGCTGAACAAACTCAAACATGGGTTTTCTTGCCCCTGGTTAAGCAAAGCGTCGAGAGCGGCTGGGCAGGCTGCTGCTTTGTCCTTTTATTTAACACCGAACTAACGATCTTTGGATAAATCATCTCTGCTGCAGGGACAAAGTGGCAAACTCAGTGAAGGAATGGAAGGAGCTGTGCCACGCTCCCACGTGTGTTGCTCGCCACGTGTACAGAATACAGACTTCCCAACACCTCTGCACTGAAGCCTTGGGGTGCTGCTAACTTTAACCATAGCTGACTGCAGCCACAGGATGGACTCTCCTGCATATATTGTGACACAGAAAGGTATTTTCCTCATTTACGAGAAAGTCATGCTTCTGGAAAATGGAATGTGAGGTTAAACTCAAGTCAGGACATCATCAGAAAGGATGAAGCATGTTATTTCCTCCCTTTGCCCATCACTTCAGTAGCACCACAAGGACTTCAGGACAAAAAGTAAAGTAGCAGCCTCCAAAATCCAGGTCCACAATGGAACCGCTGGTCTCTACACTCAGAGCAGGCACCTTTTTACATGTTATCCAGGATTTAAATTGGAACATGCAACAAAACATGTCAAAGAAAAACTTCCAAGTAAAACACTTGCCAGGAAGACGTTTTACAGCGTGCCAGCCTCTCCAGCAGCACTCACCAGAGAAGCTATTTTAAGGACCACCTTGGATTTTTTTTTCAAAGGCTAACACACTGCAAACCTTCACAAGGATCAGAAAAAACAGTGGAAGGAATTGTTATAAACCGTTGCAACATTTTTCTGAATTTACTGTTCAGAAGAAATTGCTCCACTTGAGTCCTGGGCAACGATTCCAGGAGTTGCTGAGCGAGGTGCAGCACTGTCTGAACGCAGGTGTTCCCTAAAAGAGGTGTACCGACGGTAGTCCAGCCATTTTATCTACCAGACAGCTGGTAACAAAAAGAGATAAGCAATTACCGAACCGGTGAACTTTTAGCAGCAAAACAACAAGCTTGTAGGTGAAGGAGATAAATCAGTCTGCCAGGAGCTGGAAATGTTCCTTTGTACATTTGAAGCAGCAAGACTAAGCTCCAACCCCACCTCACTGCGTTTTCAGCACCGTCTCAAACATGGAGGTGCTTTGTAAAGCACTTGTTAAGTTTCAAAGATCTTGTGCTCAGATGACCGCAGCAGCCTGCTGCTGTAAACATCCGACTGAAAGCTCCTTCTAACTCCTCACAGCTTCCAGTCAAGGATGTTTACAGTAGCAACGACTGCCCCAAAGGATGCAGGAGGTGGTACTTCTAAGCAAAGCAGCCCGTTTCTCCCTTTACAAGTCAAAGGATGCAGACTCAGCATACTTTTTAAAGTTAGATTTTTAACACTGGCAACATTAGGTAGCAGAGCTTTGCAGCAGGTTTCGTCACTTCAGTAAATCCCCAAGTCAGACTTCGTAAATCTCCACTCAAGCGCTATTTCCATAAAAAAAAAATTTAACAACCTGAAAACTACTGTAAATAAACATATAAAAGAGAGGCACAAACCTTGTGTTTAAACCTGATGCTGTATTGCTTTATCGACTCTCTTTTTCATTAGAGACTGAACTCACACCACAGAAAGGACAGACCGTAAGGCACTCAGTTGTATGTCTCACCTGCCGTTTTGGAGGCTTCAGTTCGTCTCTTGGAACAATATCGATAAGAAAGTCAAATTGATCAAACTTTGTAATTGCCATGGCAATGTCATTCCTCTATAATAACAAAAAGAGAAAAATCATTCTTCAGCTTTAGAAGTCTGTTCTGTCCCCAGATAAATGAAGTTAGAGCTTTAATTAATTAAATGAAATTGAGTCAAGTGAGAATGCTTTCTCTAGATCCCAAGTGTCAAGCCAGGTGACGAGAACTTCTGTTCCAGTGCTAATAACACCCTCGTGCTGAGTGAGGCCTCCAAGATGTGCAGTAAGAAGGTGCTTATCAAACTCAGGCTTTTACAGTCATGTACTCACCCACCGGGCCTGATCAGGCTCTCCACAACGGTATCGCTGTAATTCACTACAGAGGGCTCATGAAAACCACCATAAGCCTTTCAGCATGTTAAGAAAAAAGGGGAATTCTTCTAAAAAATAATTTAAAAAAATCTCCAAGATATCTGAAAAGAAGCTTTGCAAGAAGACCAGGATGACTGCTCCATATATTAGCAGCAACATATGAAGAATCTATGAGTTAGGGATGGGATTAAAAAAATTAGAAAATAAAGTATCACAGGATCTTATTCAGGGCAGGGGAATCCCAAGAGAACAAGCTTCAGCACGTAGAAGAGCAAAATGGTTAGAAGAAAGCATGAAGATTAAAACATGTACTCAGCAAACTGGCCAAACACGCATCAGAAAAAGGATGTGCAAGAGCCAACGAGCTTCTATGAAAAACTGGCAAGGTAATTATCTTCTCAAAATGGCTTATAACTTTACTTTTATACCTTGCCTGAAAAAGAAATTCAAAGAACAGCATTAGGTCAAAGCATTAAAGACCTGAATAAAGAATTATCCAGCAATAAGTCATCACTTAAATGTATTTGCTTAAGATCTGAAACAACCCCCAAGATAAAAAAGCTCTAATTTATTTAAAAGAAAAAAAGAAAAAAAAATGTACTCTGTCATTTAAAAATTCTTGCAAGCCATCTTAAGTAGGGCTAATTCAAGAAGCTGTTAAAAGTCTAATTCTCATTAGCTGAAGATAAATTTGTAAAGCATATACACGAACAAGATTTGAGACAAAGATGCCTACGCTGCCTAATGAGTAGGTAAAATTTAAAAGACTATCAATCCTCTCATTTCAGGCTAGTTGACATTCTTAAAACTTATACCATCTTGGCATTTAATTGCCAAACAATGATCACGTAGAAAGCACAAGAGACTTTTCTTTTGTTCTGCAGGCAGCATACATTATAAAAGTATCTTCACCAAGAAAACTTTTACTGAACAGCTGTATCTCCTATTTCATTCTCCACGCTGAGGACTGGGTTCAATCCAATTTCCTCAGAAAGAGGCTTCCATAACTCAGACCTCTCCACTCAAAATTTTCTTCCCAAATACTTGATAAGCAGAGACTGCCTTTCTCCAGCTGCACTGTCCATGCAGAGAGCAGCTGCTCCGGCATGGCAGCTGCTGTGGAAGTGGAGGCAGTCAGAAATAAAACCTGAGTCAATTCAAGGTCTTATACGTTAGGATCAGGATTTAAGTATGATTCCGAAATAAACAAATCCATCCAAGCTTGAAAACTGTTAACAGGACATGCCTGAGTCAGTACTCGTGCTTATGAAGCGTCATGTTCATGGAGTGTATATCAAATACATCCTTCCCACAGTAACTGCAGGAAAACCTGAATTAAGCAAGCGGCATTAGCCCACTTTAGTGGCAACTGAGTGGCTCGATGCCCATTCAATAGGACAGCTTTGGACTGAAATCAGATATGTCTCCTTGCCACTACAGCAACCTCTGTGTCAGGGTACTGGAGAGCTGACATGGTCCTAAATATCACAGTCTCTCACCTCTGATCTAAGGGCCTGAACTGATGGTTATTATAGTTTCACGTAGTTCTGGTCAACATGAAGCACTAAAAGTGAATGCCTTCCCCGCTCCCCACCCATAAAAACACACTAAAGAGTTCAGTTTACTCTTGAACCACTGAACAAATGACTATTACTGAAGGCCTCTCAACCCAGGAGAAACAGTAATCTGCTCTGGAGAAGGGTATTTTTGTTTTCATCTCTACACAGTTATCAACACACCCTAACATCTACAAGCTTACATTAGAACTACCACCAAAAACCAAATCAGCTAGAAGTTCAACAGCTACAGCTATCCCGAGTCCTTACAGCAGGTCGTGATCAGCTGACAGCTGCAGCTTTGCTTTTTTTGGGCTTTTTTGTTGTTGGGTTTTTTGGAAAACAAATTAAGAAAAGAGCATTTCGGTTGCACAGTTACACTGCACACTGTGCTTTGTACACAGGTTTGTAGGGATAAACACAGGTACTAAAGTTACTGTCTACAAAACACACCTCATATTATGCAAACAAAGAGTTGGAAACAAGTTTATGAAGCAGCTGAAGGCTAGGTAGGAGCAGCTCCGTTACCTGCAGGGTCCTCCGCTTGTTATCTTCTGTGTGTATCCATGCTCGCAAAGTCAGTTCTGTTATGAATATCTGAGCTGCCTTGGCGAACAACACGGGAGCTTCTGCACTAATCATCTGCAATTAAATTTAATTTTTTTAATTTTTTTTTTATTTTTAAAGTTTACCATTAATATTCTAATACTGCAAAGTGGTAATCATGTGTGTCAAATCTGAACAGTTGCACTGTTTAACAGTGAAGCTGGGGGAATTTCCACATCAGAATGTCTATGGGTCTGACAGTCCAAAGAGTTACCAGCCTCAAAAACGCCAATGCAGTGTTAGGAGTATTGAGCATCTAACATTGGTCTCGGAAGTCCGCTCCCTCCACGACCAGCCAGATGGCAACTCCATACTGTGCTGGATTACGGTAGGCCAGCAAACAGCATCAGTGCGCATTCACCGAGAGGGTGTCAACCAGCAGCTGCTCCTGGCAGTGCCTTGGGATGTGCAGAAACGATTCAGAAACTGAAGCGGACACGTTGAGGGCTCATTTTAAAACCTGGCCCTTACTTTTTCTTTATGTAATTTGAAATGCATGCTGAAAATGCGAAGGAGGTTTGGAGGCACCAAATTCCTTTTCCTTAAAAAGTATCTAGTTCAAGTTTTACTCAAATTAAGTGGTTTCGTTATTAGCTGGCTTGGCATTAATGCCTACGCCCTATTACAGCCTCTTTATTAAATAATATTCCGGGCAGGCCAGAGACTTTGCCCCTTGCCCCACCCTAAAATCTCATCTTCCCCTTCATCATCAAAAATTTGGCTCTCATTCGGTTCAGACATAATTGTAAGAAGTAGTAATGAATTGCAAGGAATTAGAGCTACAATAGCCACCAAAAGGGTCACAAACACTTAAGGGAAAAAACCACCAGTGTACCTTCACATCTTCATCTAGTTTCATTATCTTCTTAATACGAGCCAGCGGGAGTTCTTGAACTCTGAAGTCTTTCTGCAGAGAGATTGACATTCGAGAGACTCTTTACTGATACTTAACTGAAAACAAAGGTAAGACAAGAAATGTTAAACCAACTCTGTATTGTCTAGAACTAAACCGGCTAAAATTATAAAACTATAACAATAACTTATCTTCTTTGAGGTATGGCAGCTTCTCCTCGGGCCCAAGAATCCTCATCTGCTTTTCTGCATCTTATACTGATATAATTCTACTTAAATCTTCTGTCAGACACTTGTATTTACTATATCACCTCAAAGCTGAAGTCATTCTGCAGAACAGAATGTTTCTAATGTTACACATTTCTGCATCTATTTATATTTGAAGCAACTAATTCAATTACTTGTCTTAGGACCCAGAAACCATTGGAATTTATAAAAAGTCACAAGAGAAAATAAAGGCAAACAAGGGCTATGTGGGGCCACAGGACGAAATCTTCTCTGCTTTATTTGTGCTTCCCTGTTGTCCAATACCAATTTTGGTGTTAAAAACTTTGGAAGAATCTTGTTAAAAAAAAAAAAAATCTATTCCTGTTTTTAGACGGATTTCTCACTGTTTTCCAGCAAAGAGAACCGCTGACTCAAAATGGTGTAATGATGGTTTAGGAGACAGAGAGCGAGCGCTGTCACTGCCCTGACTCATCCTGCTCTGCTCCGCTGTTAGCACGCACCCAACGTGAGCAGCGGCAGACACCCCACTACGCTAACGTCTGCGAGAGAGGAGGCACTAACGTGTCCCTTAGAGAGCTCCTCTCCACAGAGGTTGGGGAAACTGCTAGGCTTCACTACAGAGCTCTCCCTTCTCTGAAAATATACAGAGGAATAAAAATAATAGTAACAAAAATAAAATCCAGAGCACGTTGCTACCAGGAGCCTCTTCAAAAGGGAGAAAGGCCAAGGCTACGTACCATTGCATCAGGAATGCAGAACTGCTGCCCACAAAGGGTTTCTAACAAATGTCTTCCCTTCTTAACAAAAATGTCATAGAAAATAAAAAGAAACTCGTTTCTCTAGGGAAGAAAGCACTGCAAGACATGTTAGTGAGACAAAAGAGAGAGAAAAAATGCTGAAGATGCTGTTTTCTATCAAAGCAAAATGTGGAGGTTGTGCATGGTCCAGGCAGTGCTCCAGCAGGGGGCATTTTGTTTAATTTATATATTAAAAATTTATGTGTGTACATATATACACACACACACTCATTATTTTGTATGAGTATATATATTAAAAAAGCATCCGTGCCCTCATTCGGGAGAGGAAGGTCAGTGTGGTGTTCCTGGTGCACCTCGTAACATGCTGCAGATCAGAACTAGTCTGGGGTGGGGGTGTGGGGCTGTCCTTGTAGGGAGTGTCCAGGGCTGCTGCGCCCCACTGGCGAATGTGGTATCTTGGAAGGATTTTGGGCAATGAGAGAAGAGGGCAGCCAGGGCTGGGACCTGTGCTTGAACACACAGTGTGCTCAGGGTGGCATTTTCAACCAGTAACCGCCACATGAACAAGTTAAGGAGTTCCTAGGGCATGGGAAAACATCCCAAAGGGGTTTTTTTTTGAGTTTGTTTTTGGTTTTTAAAGCACTTTCCTTTTTACAGAACCTCAAAGGAAGATGAGGCCAAATTTTCTAATCTGTGAAGCTCATAACAGTCTTAAGTCTATTAATTTCTGTGAACAGCAGAACTGCAAGTAGACATGCATAGATACAACGCTATCAGAATCTTAGAGAAGAGGCACAGTGGGAGAAATTAGGAAAAATCCAAAGCTCCTTTAAGGCAGACAGGCAAATGCCACATAAATCAAAATCGACACACAAGCACCATGGTGAAGGGAAGCATGACCACTACTGGCTACCACCCAGCAGAAAAAACTTCAGCCATCAATTCTTCATCTTTTCTTTTTTCCAAATTAGGTCTCAATGTTTTCACGGGCCTCTTCTAACTCACTGCAGAGCGGAAATGCTAGTTTCAGCCTAGTCTTGTTTCCTATTTCTCCAAGGCTTGGCTACAGTCCTTTCTGTTATATCGGGCAGAGAACAGGGAGCTCTGGGTTGCTCTTCTAAAGCAGCTCCCTTGTTTTTCTCCCTTGAATTTTACCTACTTGTGGCACATGGCAAACGCACAAAACCAGGCAGAGATAGCCCCGAAAAGCAGGCAACCAAAGCAGGCTTTCCACCAAACAGCTGCTCTGACCTCCACTATGTTGTACATGCAGATGAGCTTTAAGTTTACTTACGTCCACATCCACGGGAGCATTTTCAGTAAGATGCACAATAAATTCCAGGGCTTAATTACGCAGGGGACAACTGCACAGGAATGCTCTGCATTTATCCCTTTTCCTTTCCAACTCCGCTTCACTGTCCCCAGTTAAATTTTCAATGACTTACTAGCTTGCAATGCAATAAATAGATTCCTACGACAGTTAAAAATTAAGCTGCCCATACTTGATAAGCTGCATAATAAACCCCTTTCATGTGGAGATGAAGACAAACTACAGCTCTTGAACACAAGAATTCACTGCGCTGAAAGAGGAAAGTAATTAATTCTGGTTATGCATACAAATTTCTACATCTGTTTCTTTAATCAACTATCTGCACACAGGCTGAAAAAAAGCAGCTTATCTTCAGACTAGTGGATTTGGGTTTTCACTTTGAACAGCCTATCTTCAACTAGAGTTCTTTTGTTTTCAGCTGCATTAAAAGCACAGGAGTGTGCTTTCAGGACACTGTATCATGGTAATCTATCAATCTCTCTTGAAAAGTCATTTTTATTATATGCCCTTGTTCTCAGGCACATCTCTTTTGGGGATGGAAAAAAAAAATATAGAAGCTACTTAGTCCAATTCTTATTCTCAGCCTATACAGGATTTTTTTAATCAAATGTCTTTAAATTAATAAAGCATGTGACAACGATGCACTTGGCTTTCTAGTGATTTTCAAAATTTCAGGCTTGTCAAAGGAGATGGTGCTGGGAGAGGGCATAATAGTTCCATACAAAAGTCTAAACCCAAAAATTCATTCACAAAATTGTAACTGTCTGTCAACAGCCAGGTGTTTGAGTTTATGAAGGGGGGAAAAGACTTAAATTGTATTTTGAACAGCGACATCTCCCAGGCCTGTCCTTTGGTGTGGATAAGGGCTCCCTCACATGCTGGTCACACATTCTGTATTACAGCATTTGAACAGCAGTTAAACAGCCCATGTAGCAGAACGTCAGCTATATCCTCAAATCCCTCAATCTTCTGTTAGCTAAACCAGCATATGGCACCTACTCTTACACCTGTAGCTATTTTAAAATCACGTCCCTTTTCCCCCAAACAGAAAATAATTCTCCTGCAATTCTCTAGAAAGCAGCTACGGTCATCACTAGCCTGTTAAAAGAACCTTTGAATTAACTTTGTCTTCTTGTTTAGTCCAGAAAGAGCTAAAGGTCTGACTATTACATCTCATTATACTACGAATCAGCTGCATTCAATCTGTATCTCAAGTTTTGGCAGTTGTAGGCAATAATCAAAAGCCTGACTGAACGATTATTTATCAGCTCCTAAGGCCACCATGTAGTGTGCAAGTAGCCAACTCTACTGGATCCCATAAGCAGCAGGAAGATTTTCAAGCTGAGCTTTATCTTGCTGCCAGACACGACCAGGCACTTTTCACTCAGTTCTTCAGAAATAACACAACCGATGAGGACACTCACCACCGTGAGATTGCGTATCTCCTCCATGACTCGTGGCCAGAAGGACTGGAGGCTTTGCTGGGCATCGCTATTGCTGGCTGTGCCGAAGCCACCATCTGTGGACATTCTGGTAGCTGGGAGAAACAAAAACAAGCATTAGCAATGGGAGAGGGTGGGAGGCGGGAGGCAAAGGCTCCCAGAGATTCCCTACAATTCCCAGGAGTACAGGAAAGGGCCAGCCTGGCTAATTGCTCTGGAAAACTCCCAAAACAAGATATGCCCGCCCCGATCTCACAGCAACAATGTAGAGATACTCACAGCCTCTGCAACTGTTTTTCAAAATTTTATTTGTTTTTCCAAAGATTGAAGAGTAACATTAAAAAAAAAAAGAACTGAAAGCAAGAATAGTCTCTACTCCCCTACTGGAGCTCTGCCTTTTCACAGGGAGTTATAAAACAGAAGGGATGCCCGGTCACAGCTCACATTCCAGTGCACCCCTATTATAAAATTATTTTTTCTCTTGCTTTTTACAGCCAACAACAGCGCAGGATACAGCAGTAAACTGCCCTCAAGTTGAAACCAGAATGTCAATGTCGGCCTGGTATTATTTCTAAGAAGTGCAATGAAACAGTTGCTTCTCTGCCTGTTTGAAAGGCATCAGGTTTTGTGGCTTTACACTATTTTTAAAACCCCTCTCCTCCTTGGGTATACCAACAGGAGGAATTTAACAGTCTGTATAACGCAGAACGTCAAAAGCACAAAGTAAGATTTAAAATTCAATCTTCTAATTGCAATGATTTTTAAAAAGCCCCATGCCTGTCATTTAGTATTCTGCAACTGGAGGATGTTAAGCAAGTCTGGCTGTTAGTAAATTTATCCTGGACACTGCCTGTGCATTCATTAAGACTTGTACCTTTGCAAACAGCTTTCTTTATAGTATCTATCAGCAGTCATCAGGAACTTATAAGGAAAAAATAAAGGGACAATAACTGAGTTCAGATTTTCCCATATAGCCACGCTGTGCTGCAGTGAAGATGATGAAGAGGTCAGGACATGCAGCATTGATCAACCTCATCCTCGGGTGACCGAGACGGTGCCAGCCCGCGTGGCACTGTCCAGGCACCTTTCAAGTTCCAGCTGACACGTTTCTTTCCCTGCCATAAACGCCTAGATCAAGTCTTGCCTTTTTGACACGGAATTCTTAAGACACCTCTAGTTAATATTAACGAAGTCAGATGCCCAGCTCGGGAATCCCTTGGAACATCCACACCAGCCTTGCTGGCTTCCTCTGTGTGACCGGAGCGTGTGGCTCCGGCAGGATTCCCAACAGGGATCGCAGCCTGGAATGAGGGGGCAGACGTGCCAAAAGCACAGGCACACAGAGAGACCTGCCGAGACACAACCCCACAGGACGGGACTCGGTGCTTCCTGTGCACAAAAAGCATCTTGGCGGATGCCAGAAGAGGCACCGCTCGCTCCTCAAGCCAGCAGAGCAGAGGCAGCCAGCGAGTCACTGACGTTAAACGCTCTCAGGGTCACCCAGAGCAGCTTTGAAGTTTCCATGAATGACACACACACACCATGTACAAACAATAAGTCTCTGTGTCTCTCAACTT